GGATGTTGACATGTTCAGCCAATTAGATGAGAGCACTTGTCCTTGTAACGTTTAAAATTAAATCTGACCGCAGCATATAGTTAAACGGCATTGGCTGCTTATTGTGTTTTTTACCTTTCAATTTTCAAACGTCAGCATGGTTCCTTGCAGGGGGGTTGCTTCAAAAAGGATGCAATTTATTTCATATCAGGCGAGAAGTGCTTACACGATTCCGATCAACGCCTTAAATCTTAGTTTTCAAAGACCTTAAATATGCCAACGAGAGAGAGGCTTAAGAAAACAGGTGGAGGAAAAGAAAGCTGCCTACGACCATTTGGGACACCCATCATTTCGTATCCACATCATCAAATAACTTCTGTTTTCCAGAGGAGTTATCGAAGTTGGCGGTTATTGCTTCCAATATGAGCAAAAAGAAAGAATATACCTTTAAAGGCCAGGCAAGATCTTTAACATTGGAAGTCAAACTCTATAAGTTTAAGATTTATCAATGCATCTAATTTTTTACGATTTTACAGCATCTTTAACAATGCCCCCCAAACCGTCTTTGAGATCGAGGTCACATATACACAATGTATATGTATGAGAAAAACATGTGCCTTGGTTACCCAAATATTAAAGGAGTGCGTGGAGGATGTTGGTCGAAATGGAATTTTGCGACTTGCTTTTCAAGGTTGGAAAACGAGGAGAAAGGACAACGTTCAACGACCGAAAATATCCACAAGTTATGAAAGGCTGGAGAAAGGAACTTGGGCCACATTGTGAGAGAAGAACGCACTCTCCCACACTGACAGAAACTAAGGTGTTTCACAACAAACACCATAACACGATATTGGCTAAAGATTAAATTTTTGCAACTCTTCAATTTAGTACAAGAGGGGTCTTCATTTCCTCACCGCCATGTTGTGGTGAAAGAGATTATTCGAGAAGCCATTGGTTGTTCGAATGCTTGTACCCAGTCCTTCATCGAGTGAATCAAGAGTCCTGAGGGTCTTGAAACGGCGAGGATTCCAATGTGAAGTTAGTATTTGCCCACAAATCACAAGTTCTATTATAATTTCTTAAATTCAGGTTTCTAAATTTTGACACGATTAAGATTTAAAACCATTCCAATCATCATATCAGTTTTAGGGGACCTTTCCTCAAAGAATGCTCACAGTCGGCTTCGGTCGGAACTTACTGTTTATAAAGCGAATATTGACATAGCTACGCCAATTATAAGTTTTCACCTTGTTAAATACTCCAACAGATTAAAGCGAGTCCCTTACTACATTGCACTTTGGAGGTAAATATGATAAAACGTAGATGAAGCTCTAACCTACTTAAAGAAGACTTGTTCAGGGCTCGTTGTGTTTTGTTTTAGGTCCTTAGTTGTCAGGAAAATGGCAGCACCACATCCGCTGGTAAGTGTCTTATACCATTACTCATCTGAGAGGTTCAATATTATGGAACAGAATGATAGATTGTTACATAGATTCCAAGAGTATAAAGCATTTCTGTCAATTTTTAACTAAGTTACGTGGTTTCTTATATTTTAATTAGATATATGATCATAATATTATTTATGTTATGTTAATTTTGTTGTAACACGACCCCAAAAGCCTCTGGCTTGAAATGTTTTTCGTGTTTGAATAAAGGTTTTATTATTATTTATTATTATCACTCACAATTTATACACGGCAAAAATAGAGCCGGCTCAATAGTTTGAAAATACTTTAAATGACAAGCAATATGCCCAACGAATATGATCAACTAAAATTTAGACTTACTAAACTTACTGTACTAAAAGTTTAATATCTAATTTTCGACTCTTTTGTGTCATGATTTGGTAATTAGGATATAATTAGGTATATTAAGTTTCAGTACGTTTTCGTTACTATATGCACACTGGTTTTTCTCCTAACCTGATACTCTTCAAGTAGATATTTTTTACTTTTTGTTTGTAGCATGTCTCCAATGTCTCTACTTGCTTGGTTCCTGTCTGCGTTTGTTTTTATTTTTGTGTAATTTTCACTTTCTTTTGCTTTGTTTGCCCTGATTACTGTATTTTTAGTTTAAGTAAAGTGGGGAGGGAGGGTGGGAGGAAGCTATAGTAAAAAGCCCCATGGTCTCAAAATAAGCCTCCTCGCCAGGAACAATGAATGTAGGAAAAATTTATATATATATATATAGAACACAGTTAGTGAAAACTTAATATGCTTTATCAGTTGGTGGGTAGAGCTTTCATCTATTCGAAAAAATGAAAATTTGTTTCAATATTCTCAAACAGAACAAACTGTCATTTTTGTAACACTTTATTACACATTTATCCGGTGGAGGTGACATTTCTTATTGATAAATGTCACAGCAACATTTCCTTGTAACCATTCTTCATGGCGTTCTTTACCACAGTTTCCAGCGAATGCACCAGATATATTGTGTGCTGAAATGAGTGGGATACCTGAAATTCTTTGTAACGTGCAGGTAAACCATGCTTTCCTACTACGAGTTAATTATGAAAATCAATCAGTGGTCCATAATTTTTTCGACTCGAATCTATTTTTACTGTAAAGGGTTTCAGGAACTCAAATTCGCTCATTTTAACGCTGTGCATCAACAATTAAATACTAACGTGCACCACAGCTCAAACTGAGTCAAAAGGCAGATAATCTAGATGTAGAACGTATGTGGAAGAATGAAAAAATCTGCTTACTAGTGCATAAACATTTATTTGTTTTCAAAATCAGGATACTACGGGGATCCCCCATCCAAATGATGGAGGTTTCAGCCAGAGATCAAGGTAAGTCCCTTTTGGTAGACAATAATTTATTGTCTATTTATTTTTCTAGGTATAATAATAAACATCAAGATTTTAAATTTTTTCCCCCTTTTATCTTTCATGTTCTTTTTTTTCAGAGACAGGGACATGAGGATAAAAGTCATCTTGGAGGCCAGAATAATAAGGCAATTGGTACTAGTTTAGGTGGGTAAGTCAGATCCCTGAGAACAGAGCTAAAAGAAATGAAAATATTATCACCGCATGTGTTCAGTGCTTGCTAGCCTAGTATAGGTTTTCTTTTGACAACTAAGGCTGTCATGTCTTAGTATAAAATTTCTTTATTTTATTTCACAGGAAACCGAAGAATAAAAGCAAGATATAGGAGAAATTGATTTTTCTATGATGGGTTACTATGTTGGGTTACTATAAGGATTTTCTGCTCAAAACTAAATTTGAGCTATTTATATAGAGTATTTTAAAAAAATTTGGCTCTGTCAAATTTTATGTCAGGGAAAAAATTTTTTACCAGATCTTGAGCTATGTTAGAATAAGAAGACTTCTCATGGCGGCGAAAACATCTCCTTAAGATAGAATTCTTTTCAATCCCCAAATGTTTAATAAAAAGCCATTGTTTACCCACATGTTTTGTCCTGGTAATATGACAGAATATGCAAAATACAAAACGTTCAACTGCGATTATCTTCTAGCTTTGGGGTGTTAAAAGAAATGAAACTCGAGTAATCGCCTCTTAATATTCATAAAAGTATATGGTGCCCGAGCTAACCTCTTGCCGCCATTAATTCATTTCCATCTGTTCTTTGCAAACAAAGCTCAGCAATAGGCCATTTCACAATTGTGTACTTAGTTGCCAAGCTTCTGATTTGGAGTGAGGCGGAAAGTAACTGCATTGTGATAGAGACCAGTATCTAGTTAGCTAAGTAATTTATATTTGAAAAGCAGCAACGTTTGTATCATCATAAGGTCACCCTTAGCCTCACTCCTCCTCAAAAGCTTGGCAACCAAACACGCAACTGTAAAATGGACAATCAACCAATGAAATACGTCAACGCAGTTTACCAAAGTATATGACTGGTTGAAATCAGCGTGCTTGAAATTAGCATGCTTTAGTAGAGTGCAAAGTAAGATAACAATGACTGAATGAGTTTCCCCCTTTAACTCCCACGATCGCACCTGTAATTCTCCTAACTGTCTGGCAAATGAGTCTTATTATCTTAGTTTGGAGAATTTGGTATCGGATCAATTAGTTATTCCATAATTGATATTTTTCTTTATTCTCAACACTTGTCTGCATGATATTGTATAGATATAGTAAGGAGAAATTCCGTCTTGGTCACCCAAGGGAATTAAAGGGTTAAGAACCTGTACCTGATGTGCGAACTGGTCTTTGATTGGATGATAATTCAGAGCTTAATAAAATTTTTTAAAATCATATCACAGAGCTAAATTCAGGAGGATTAAATCTTTATTTAGCTTGTGTAAATGAACAGACACTCCAAATTTTTTATTCGGTAAAAGTAAACCTCACAGCAAGTTTCTCTAACCTCCCAATTCCACCCTGCCCTCAAGAAATTAAAAGTAGCAACAGTGGCAACGTCATTGTGATAACAGCAATGAAATGAGCTAAATAGAGAACACAGATTTTATTGAATTGGATGGTAACGTTACCAAGTGCTATGTGAAAGTCGATGCATACGAAATATTCATTTACAATGCTGGTGTCAGCTATTTGCCATCGAGCGATATGGGTCATATGGCAATGCTGCACTTAAAACAAAGAAGGTTTCTCTATTAAAAGCCCTATTTGAGATTAACTTGAACCTGATGACTATAAACTCACTCGTTTTCCGTTTGACCGCGGAATCGACGACGATAGTCTCTGCCTTTGCAATCTCTGAGGAGAACTGAACACCGCAGGTAAGAAATGTACTGGGCCACTCCAAAGATTCTGATCGCGGGAACGATACATGATCTCGTTTGCGAAGTCGGTTAGAACCATATACCTCTTGTTACGGGCGACAAAACTTTGGAGAGGCTCGTTGATTTTGTTACGAGCTTTAAAATTAGCACAAGTTTCTGATATCTCGCATTCTACTTCTGGAATAGAGACAGCTACTGACCTCGCTCCAAATGTATGAGATACGTTATGAAGTTTCACCAGTGCGTTAAAAATAGACAGTACATCGTAAAAGTCGAATGAAGAATTCTCTTCGTATTTCTTTAAGTCGTTTGTTCCTCCAAGAATAATCACCCGGTAGTAAGTTATTTTTAAATCTTGAAGAAGTTGTTTCAAACGCGGTTTAGCTCTTTCGCTCGGTAATCCTGCGGGGAAAACTTTGAAGACTGGTTTTACGATTTCATCCAGCATTCTCCGGTCGCGAACGTTTAAGTACTCTTGTAGTTTTGTAGAATAAGGGTGATGTGTATAACTCGTGTCCATACTGCCCGCAGTGAGAGAGTCACCAAAACATAAAATACTTATCGCCGCTATTTCAGGCCTTGTTTCTCTCAATATATTGCTTACGTCATATAAAATGGAAACTGCAATAAAACCTACGGCCAGGATGTAACAATGTGCCCTAAAGCATGTTATTTTTGCGCTTTTTGTTCGAAATGACGAGAAAAGAGAAACAAGGTGATGTTTACATTCTCGCTGAAAGTGGCAAAATAATTTCCTCGACTTAACCCAAGTTACCATGGATACAGAACAGGTACAGGGAAGGAGAATCAACCTGCCGCGCTAATGAATACGTTTTACGCAAAATTTTCTTTCACCACTTAGCCTACCTGGCTCAAATTTGACGACGTTTTTAAAGCAAGGAAGCTGGAAATTGTTCACTCAAATCAGACTTTCCCCGTCCGAGCCGGAAAAGGGGCGAAAATATAACGACAACAACTACAACAAAAGAGAAAGCCAAATTCTAGATAAATCAAAACAAGCGAACGAAGGGCTTGACTGATGAAAATAATTTCATTCATCTCCTTTTCTTATTTGTTTTTTCTGGTCTTGTTCTCAGAAAAAAAAAACTTGGTTTCTGAGCCTCATCCATCTCGAAAGATGTTGAGGAGAATTTAAAATTTTTTTTTTAAAATTTTTAGGTCCGTTCTGGATTAGGTACAGTTCCATAATCTGTACTGCGATTAAACAAAAACATTTTAGGCATAGGTAATAAAGAAAACATTTCTTGTTGTTTTCAACGCGGTTACGATTTCCTTTCGCATAGAAAAAAGCTCTTTAAGTCGCGTAAAGAAAGTGTTACTACTAAAGATCGCTTTTCTCGTTTAAAATTGGAAATTTTCGCTGGTAGAATATTATCGAGTGATGACCTATCATTTCCTGGCGGGTTATATTGACTAAGGACTCTCCTGTCCAAATTATCGCTAGATGTTTTATTTTGAACCTTTTTTGGTGTATTTTTCATTACATAAAAGCATTCATGCGCGAAAAAATAAAGGAAAACGGAAAAAATAGAAATACTAGAGGAAACTTCCAACCCCTCCACCAAGCACCCCCTCTCTTATTTATTAGTCGCTTTATTTGGCGTCTCAGTTTATTGACGAAACTCCTTGCATTGGCTAACTTGACAACTGGTGCTTGACCGTATAAGTTTACTTGTCCTAACACAGTACAACATAAGACCAGAACTCAATTCAGTGCTTTTATTCTTAGAACAACACACTTCTCAACTGCTCTATGTTTTCCACAGCTCCTGAGAGTGTTAAGATTTAATCTTAATTCCCATGTCCTGGCCGATACATGCAATCTTGACGTAATTGTTTGGCAGGTGAATATCTGTTGCATCCACCTGAGTGCTCACTTTGGTATTCGATATTCCGGCCTAAAAGGCAAAGGATAGAATTAAGAAATAAGAAGCCTCTAAAAAATTGCCTCGCCCCTAACGTGCGGCCTCGTAGCTCAGTTGGGTCAGTTGGTAATAGCCGGCCGACCAGTATCTGAATGGCACAGTTTTCGAATCCTGTCGAAGCCTGAATTTTTCAGGCTTCTTTTCGGCAGTCGCTTAAATTTCGGCTCACTTGCGAGGATTACAATGATAAATAAATTTGAAATGAATGCGACAGTGATCTTCGCAATTATGAACACTGCTTAACCCTTTGACCCGCACGAGTGACCAAGACAGAATTTCTCCTTACAATATCAATACAATATCAAGGAGACATGGGATGAGAATAAAGAAAAATATAAATTAGGCCATTAGTTGATCCAAAGCCAAATCTCCAAGCTTACATCATAAGATTGAATTAAGTAGTTGTTATTAATTTGCAATTCTCATATATGATATTCATACTTTGACAGTCATTCAAACCACTATTACATTTGGTGATAATTTAGTTGAATACCCCTTCTGCCATATTATGCAAACTGAAAGTCATGTACTAGCTAGAGAACCCTAAGGATTTGAATCGTCTCCTCTCAAGGAAAAAGTTGGCTAAACCTGTTTGAATCTTCATATGGCGCGCACTAGAAATGAAATAGGAATTATCACGGGTTGGACGTTTTTCAAAAAAAGTCACTTGCCTAGAAATGATCAAAGTGAAGGAAACCCATTTCATACCAATTTGAAATCACGTGGGTAATTGTTTGACCACACCTGGCAAATGGCGTTTCATAAATTGGAAATAAATAGGCTTGTTTTTAAGTCTACAAGAATGAGTGACACATTTCTACTCCTTACAAATTTTCTGCAAAGTAATTACTCACCGCGACAGCTGACGGAACTTGTAAAGGTCCCTTCATGTTTGCCATGATAAAAAATTTAATGTCACCAGTTTTTAAGATGCAAGCATGGTTTTCAACCTTTGCGTTTGGATCTGGGGATGAAAAAAGAGAGTGATGACTGCCGGCATTACGCGTGGACTAAACAACCAAGGAAATAACTAATAAGGCTAATGAAAAGAAGCTAGCAAGTATCTAAATATGCCAGCAAGTGAACAAGCAAGCGAGAGGAAAAATCAATTCAAACAATAGAGCGCTTTTCGATTGAGTATCGTGAAAGCAAAACAAAAATTAACCGCAACAGCCAATCAGAGGATAGGAATCGCCTTTTAAGAGCAATTGAAAACTCAAAGTAAAAACAACAAAATTCTAAAGCGGGGAAAACACGGGTAATCAAGTCCTAATCGGTCTAAGCTTGTATCTGATTGGTTGAAAGAGTGGCGCGAGTTATCTGGACCAATTGTAGAGCGAAGTAAAGTAAAATCAATGCAGTCTCTGATTACTTTCGACTCTTAGTTAAAATTGCCCTACCAAGCAATCATGCAAACAAGCATTTAAACAAGAGGGCAAGTAAGTATCAAAAACAAGCTAACAAACAAGCGAGCATGCCAACAAATTAGCCAGAGAATATAAAAACGAACAAACAAGCTAGCAAAAGTATCAAACAAAAATGTAAGCTAAGAGTAAAGCAAAAACGCAAGAATACATCTCGCTTGAAAATTGTTCTGTACCTCCAAGAAGCTCTTTTACTTCGTTGCAGTCAACTGTCTGTAAACTTCAAGAAAAAAAATCGAGTTTGAGAAGGACTCGAGTCTAATTTAATTAAGTAACAACATCGCCTAGTCATTTTCAGGAAAGGAAACAAAGTGGAGGTATTCCCGTTAAATAATTTCATAGGCGGATAGTTTTGCTGGAGGCCGCCTAAGAAAATTCTATTTTTAACCTTCATCTTGTAAGCGGCCAGGAGCAAATTTACTGGAACTCTCTTTTTTTATCTACGTCTCGAAGGTGTTCGTTTACAGGAATTTCAAAAGCTTTGACCCGTCTCGGAATCAAGAAACGTTCATTTTCTGCTAAAGAAAATTGGGATTTTAGAAAGTTTAAACTGAGGATACTCTTGGAATTAAACTGTCCGATAACTTCAAGAGAATAAATCAACTTTAAGAAGGACTCGTGTTATTTATTTAGAGTAACGACATCGCCTGGTCATTAACCAAGTGGAGGTATTAAATAATGTTAAATAATTTCATAGGCGGATAGTTCTGCTGGCGACCGCCTGAGAACATTCCATTTTTAACGTTCTATGTAAATTCTTTTGTCACACAATAACATCTTGCAAGTGGCAAGGAGCAAATTCACTGGAACTTTTTCTATCTATATCTGGACGGTGTTCGTTTACAAGAATTTCAACAGCATTCACCAATCTCAGGATAAAGAAACGTTTATTTTCCCCGAAAGAAAATTGGGAATTTTAGAAAGTTTAAAGTGAGGATGGTCTTGGGATAAGAGCTGTCCCAAAAAAACACCATACTTTCAGTATCACAGCGTCACAAGAACAACATATTTGATGCAATTCTAGCCTCCTGTCTCCCGTAACTATGAAAAGCAGGAATTGTAGCTGTAGGTAAGCACCTAAACGTTGGTGCATTTTATTACTTACAGTTCCGAAAATAAATCGTAAAAGGAAATAAATTAAATTGAATGTACGATACACAAAAATTTTTAACATCGGAGGTCCCATCAAGAGAAGCAAGAGAAACGAAGCAATCTGCTGGTTTAAGGTGTATCTTTCATCACAAGTAAAGAAGTGGGAGGGAAGGGGGTGCACTTTATAAGTAGAGTTTGTATGATAATTTTCTTCACCAATGTAAAGGCATAAATCTATTTTATTGTTTTAAATAAACTGACAATGAAAATTTTCTACGAATCAAGGGTGAAAGGATAAAGCGAGTGACAAAGCGAGTTAATTAAAATAACAGTTTGAAACTTTCTCGCTAACTGTTTTACAACATGTTGCAGTTCAGTTAGGTGTCCAAGTGACTTACCATGATTTCGCACCGTCTGGATTTTTGCAAAGTGGGATGTCTAAAGCGTAAGGAAGAAAACCCATGATTTTCCCAGAAATCGCTGCCTTGTACACGATAGAAAACCGGCCTGGATGTTGCCCAGAGATGTGAAAATCGCCTTTCAGACAAATCAGGGTCTTCACACTGGATACTTTTACTTCAAATATTTGTCCAGGAGCATTGCCACAATCACTGACAGTGAAGCTGTTGAGCTTAATCTTTGGAAGAGGGGCTTGAAAAATGAAATTATATATTATTCGTGATAAATAATATTTAAAATAATAACAATGGGATGTGACAGTGGACATTTCACGATTTCAAGAGGTGGCTCTTCTTGTATACTGTTTTCAGGCCGAATTGAAATTGCAATGGTAGTGTTTGCGGAGGGAGGAAAACGGAAGACCCAGGAATCGAACCCGGGCCACAACGGTTGGGGGCGTGCGCTTTCACCACTGCGCCATCCCTCTGTAGGGAGTGCTGCAACTTTTTAACAAGGTTTGACGAAGGGCTAACGCTCGAAATGTCAGCTTTGAAAATCTTAACGGTGGCCAATTTATGCTATTAACTCTGTTGATATTACCAAATTACCTTGCGTATCACACCCTTACAGTTTTAAATTTTAGGACCAAATGACTCGTTAGTTAGAAAAAAGTCAATTCTTAGGCATGCTTCCTTTAGTTATGAGGGTCTGCATTAAGATACTAAAGGGACGGAGGCTTCAATAGTCTTTTTTTGGATTTAAATTTACTTATTTTTAAGTAGGAGCGTGTTAGAAATGTTGCAGTGATCTTACATAAGTGTACTTACTATGTTTACAAAAGTTGTTGTCTGTTCCCATTGACAATTGGACGAATAGGATTGCAGTGATTAAGAGCAACACCTTCATGATTTGCTAACAAAGAGAAGGAATATTCATCAGTCCAAACTTTCCACCCCGACTCTGCGCACTGAACTTCCACACCGAAATCAATTGGGGTTCGAGCCGTGAAGGCTAAGATGAAAAATAGAAACCTATAGAGGGGCATGGGTGTTTAAAAGGGAGTTATCGAATGAATGAATGAGTTGCTGAACATGGAACAAATGAGGAAACAAGAAAGTCACATGTAGAAACGAAATTATACGAAAAGGATAGAGCTCATTTTGCACTAAACTGGAAAGGAGCAATGAAAAGGCTATGGGAACTTTTATTCACTCATGTTGGTCCAAAAACAGATTATGATACGTTGATTGTCGAGTTTTGTTTTACATGTCGTAGGGTCAGTTGCTTCAAATGGTAAAATTTGCTTTTGAGCTCAAGGGTTATCCTCTACCTGAAAACGATGGTCAATAGGGCCGGTCATATCAATATTGTAGATTCAAAAATGAACGAACATACTCTTAAAACAGATTGGCTGTTCACTTTAGGTCAAAGTTGTCAGTTCTTGGCCATTTAGCAAAGGTATTAGCATTCGCTGATCGAAAACCTACGTTACGTTTTCCAAAATATAGTCCAATTTTAGACTCACCTGGTTCAAGAAATATCCTCACAAGATTGTAACGATTAAAGAATGATTTAGTGGAAAGAAAACAGGATGTTATCAGCTGTAAAGATTACAAAGGACTCCGTGGGTCTTAGAGCTATCAAACAGTTTAAAGGTTTTTTTCTTTCAAATTAAATTTAATTGAAAATATCGCTGCAGCGAAATGAAAACAACTCGAATATGCACAGATTAATTGGTAACTCCATCGTTTCATCATGTTTAATTAACGGAACGAAAAAGAAAGGAAGAACAATAAGTACAAGAAAGTTGAAACAAAGGAAAAAAACTAACAATAGTGAAAAAGCTAAAAAAAAATTTCGTTGTCAGCAGTCTTTGAGTTGGTCACCTTTATCACCAGCATTTTTGTGAAATAACGGTTAGATACAATTATTATTCATAGTCCAAGTATCTTTTACTTACAGGTGAATTGGAATGTCTGAGAAAAAAGCGAAAACGAGATTTGATCACAAATTGGCAGACTCTTCATTTATCGAGAAGCTTTCATTTCCATATAATGGAAAAGAATTTCATTGTATCATCACAATCCAGTTGATCGCTGCGACTATGCACCTTCTACATGTAATTTATTTAATATAATGAAACAACTCTAACCCCGCTTTTGGCGAAAATGCATTTTCTTTTGATTTTAAGGGGATCTTTCCAGGAATCCAATTTGCTGTAATATAGTTTCGACAAGCTTTTGTGCGTTTTGAAAATATTATATTCTCAATGTCATGGCGGCGATCGCAGTGTTATTTATCTACATACCCACATGCAAAGGTAAATGAAATTTAAATGTTGAGAGGCTAACTGCTAAATCATATTTGCCTCCCAGAAGTTTTATCACACACACATACATACATTTATATATATATATATATATATATATATATATATATATATATATATATAAACAGCACTCCTCGTTTACGATAGCTCTCAGAGCATATGCAACTGCCATTTACCCTTCCACTCTCAATATCTCATCACCGATTCTCTTCGAAAGAATCAACCGCTGCCTCACAACATAAGCGAAAGAAAATTTAAAAGTTCTCATAAATCTATAAATGGAAACAGAGGCAGGGAAAGGGAAAAAAAGGAGACTTTTAGAACACAAAGATTACTCAAGTATTGACAAGTACGGGTATCCTGTTGAGTTACCATACTGTTTTGAGCTTTGCCCAAAACTTGAAACCCCCCTGAAACACGTTGATTAAATGCTTTCACGGTGTGGTTGTTTGTTACTCAGATGAGACAATTTTGCAACGTCACACATGCGCAGACTTTTGACCCCTGTGTTCTGTAGAGTAAGGTCCATTTAATCAATACTTTGGCCTGCACGATTCGAGTTGATAGAATACTGTCGCAAGGGCGGGTAGAGCAGATTCTCGAGGCTACATTTGCAGTTAGGTTGTCGACATCAAGAATATTCACTAAAATAATCGGTGTGCAAATCCATGATAACAGATTTAAAGGCGTGATGCTAACATGAGCTCGTTATTTTTCGTTCTAATTGCTTGCAGGTGTCAGAGCTGGCCTAGAGATTAAGGTTGAAGGGGGAGAGGCCCTCAAAAAACTCAATACACTGCATAAAGTCCTTCCTTTTTTATTTGATAAAATCAAAATAACACAAAAAATCCATTCTTTTCCTAATATTTTGCAAACTGTTACCGCTGCACAACATTAAAAATTACTATTTAACATTTTTGTTTTTGGACTGAACACTGTCGCCTTAGTTACCTGAATGTCATCCAATTACATGGTCTTGGTTTTTTATGGTTGTCTGTCTAACCTTTAGGAACTTTTATGGTTTTGGAAATGGAATAAACCGTTTATAGATAACACAAACTGTTGTCTTATTTGTTTAACCCTCGACACCCCAACATCACTGCACATTCTTAATTCATTATGTCCTCCGTGCATCCCCTGTGGTGCTGACTAGGAGAATTTGTTTATTAACCAAGAGCTCTTTAAGTTGTACATCATTTTCTTTATTCTCCTGATTCAGGAGTGGTACTGTGAGAGAAATTAGATGCCGGTCATTCTTTGGGTTTAAAGGGTTAAATCTTTGTAAACTTGTCATCTTAAAAGTTAATTTCCCTCTTATCTCGGTTACTGCTGTACCTCTCTTTTTTTACATAACTTATGCTCCTGCCAAAAGAAGAAAGTCGAACCCTCCAGCTTAGTGGACGATGAAAATGGTACTTTTGCGTCGAATCGGAATAAGGAAGATCGAACATTTAAGTCGAAGGTCTACATGTAGCAATTAAGGAATGAAAATCGGATATCGAAAGTTCGCAGTCAGCCGACATGTGACAAAGGACATATGAGGCTCACAAGTCGAAAGTCGTAAATTAGAAGTCCGTTACTGGAGGTGAGAAAATTATATGTCAATGGTCGGACATAAAACTCCGAACTCCGATATTTCCGAAATCGAATGTCCGAAATCCGAAGTCTGAAGTCAGAAGAGTCGAAAGTCGGAAATTAAAACTTTACACTCAAAAATCGAATGTCTGAGATCCAAAGTCTTAAATCAGAGGTCGGAAGTACCGATATAGCATTAATTTGTTGGTCGGTATCAAAACCAATAAAAATGTTTTTTCATTGCACCGTTAAACATATAATTATCAATGAATCATGAAGTCTTGAAACCCAAAGTGAAGTCAACAAGAGACCATTCGGATAAGGAAGGCACAAATGTAAAGTATGTTAAGTATGGGCAGAGGGTAAGTATGGTATGTTTTATTGTTTATGTTTGATTTATTTTAATTATTTCTTTTATTTTTTTATTCATAATTTTTAGATTGATCTATTTATCTTTTATTGTGCTTATCATTACTTTCATTTTCCTTTTTGACGATCATAATATAACATATTATGACACTGAAACTTTATAAACTGCTCCCTTTTGATGACCAGATCATACATAGACACTGCAACGATTACACCACTTCCTTGTTGACGACAACTTGTGGACAAACACATGATGCATTGAAACCGCAACTTTTGAACTGCTTCCTTCAAGAGAAAGGTAGAAATTAGAAGGTGGGTTTTGAGCCAAACCCTGCAAAGAAAAAAATCTGGAAAAGATAGAAAAGAGGAATGTAATATCAAGGAAGCATATACACGTATACTGTTAGTTTAAACAAAGTTTCATTTGATCAGCAGGATCTCTCATCCAGTCTTAACCTGAACAGCAAAGCAGGTCTCAGTATATGCCTAGGCATTTTGATGGGACAAATAGATTACTAACTTAAAAAACCAACCTGAGTTGATCAGGAGTTTGTTTCCTGAAAATCAAACACTGCATCTGTATAACCTGTTGATCACACACTCAAGAGGAAAAACAAAATACAATGCTTAGTGCGATGTAAGAACAATAACTATAAGTTTTGAGGTTTAAGGTTTGAATCCATAACGATGTTGACCGAGCTGTGTTTCATTTTGTGCTCACCTGACAAAGTGATGCGCAATTGTTCTGAGAGATAACTAATTGTGGACCGACATAACAGACAATTAACTCTTGTAGCCCCTCTCAAGGTAAGCTTTGGAAGCTTCAGTCGCCATTATTGTGTTCTGTAAGTGCTATTTTCATCAATGTTAAGTTATGAAGGACATACTCTACCAACTGACTATAGCTGTTTGTATGTCTTTGACTTTGAAAATCAAATGTGCCGAAAAAAAGAGGAAATACTTAATCCCCGCTTGAATACAGACACAGTCCTTTGGTGGTTACAGCCGACACCTGAAATGGGTCTGGCCTCCGGGTTTGAGACCTATTTAACGGC